GGCTGTTTCTCTTCAATTTGAGTGGTGCCACATCAGCAAATGAAGGTCTCAAAAGCTTTCTCTTATCCATATGAGTAAGGCAGGGTTTACTCAGATTTTGCAGCTCTTTCCCAGTCCTATTTTGAGAGCCTTTTAGCCTAACCGGACTATTCCTAAAGGTGCGTGGTAATGTACCAAACAGTGTTTCTTTGCTATTCATAAGGTTTTCCCTGGCCAATTCTTTGAGAAGTGGACGGCCTCTTCCTTCTTCCTAGTCTGTCTCAGTCTATAAGCTGGTCTGTTGCACCAGGGGCATTTCGCTGGGTTTTTAACACCAGAGGCTCAGCCTCAAAACTCACGTCTACATGTCACGACAGTAGGACAAACCAACAGACAAGTTTGTCTTGCTGTTGGAGACCTCTCGTATCACCCCCACCTGTGTCCCTATGGCTGACTGCTCCTCTGTCTGGCTTCCTGGCTTTTAATCCCCTTTCTTCTGCTCTTCTGGCCTGCTGCTTTGGGCGTCCCTGAGTTCTCTCTCCTCACCTGTATTCCTGGGGCTTACTGCTCCTCTGTCTGAGTTCCTGGCTTTTATCCCCTTTCTCCTGCTTTCCCGTCCTGCTGCTTTGGGCGGGCCTGAGTTTCCTCTCCTCACCTAATCCCTTTGGCTGACTGCTCTTCTGTCCCGGTTCCTGGCTTTTAATCCCCTTTCTCCTGCTCTTCCCGCCTGCTGCTTTGGGCATCCCTGAGTTGTCTCTCCTCACCTGTAACCCTGGGGCTGACAGGGATGCTAGTGACAATAGGCTTACTAAAATATGAGTATAATTCTGTGGTGAAGCTGGAAGTCTTCCAGATTCTTTGCTGTACCAGTCTGGGCATTGATAGGTAAATACAGGGTCAAGGTTGACTAGTAAGTGTGTGAGGGATAGAAGTCTTTTATGATTGCTAAAATGTTGTCAGGATTGCCAGCCACCTCCTCTACATAGGTCTATAAAATAGCTGAAGTTAAGAATATCGAGTAACTAAATCTCTGTGATGCTACCTGTGAAATACACACAGAGTTTGGATCCTTGGTTAGAGGTACTTTCTTCAGTGTTTGAGAATTGTGTGGGACAGTGTCCAGCCACTCCAGAAAATGAGATCTTCTGAGTACTACGAGGGAGTAGTATTTAGTGAGAGAATTCTTACTTTCTATGCTGGAGACCCAATTTTGATTCTTGGCCAATGCTTCTCATGCTCAGCCACCACCTGTCAGTCAGTGGAGGCTTGTGTGTTGCTATGATGCTGAACAGGTTTTAGCAGAACCTCCAGATGAAGACAGACTAGGAAGAAAGGCCTGGTGATCTACTTCTGAAGATCAGACAATGAAAACCCTATGAATCATAATGATCCAGTACACAATTGATCATGGAGGTGACTTCGGGCTGGACAGGGTTTAGTTCCATTGTGCATGGGGTTAACTAGTTGTAGGTGAACTTAATGGTAGCCAACAACAACAAGTACTATGCTTGTTTTAAATGTTGTGTCCATTGTGTCATATGGGAGCTACTATGTGGATAACATGAAGCCCCAGGATGCATTTTGTGTAAAGGAAAACTCTGTACCTCTTACCGAGTTTCTCAGTGACCAACATTTTAAATAAGACTCACAAGAGCAATATTTTTAAATGATCAGATACATGTCATCCAAATACCTGAAAGGGGAGGCTTTAGAAGAATTTGGGCTGGTCCTCGTGCTATAAGACTTGTACGTTTATGACTTAACCAAATGCCAGACCTTTAGTAAGCTGCCCCATTGTTTGGCCACCATTGTTCTCCCCTCCTCATCAAACCTGACCCTCCTCCAGCAAGCCTACCTCATTCAGTGGCACCATTAATCTTCCAATTATTAAAGTCATAAACCTGAATCTTCCTTGACTCTCCCTCCCAATTATTCGCCGTATTTGACTAATCCCTACCTCCTGTTGATTATCTCTACCTGCTGCATTTTCTCCTGCATCATCTGTTTCTCTCCATTCCTCTTGCTACTAACCTACATCAGGCCAAGACATTGTGACTGAATTGTAGCAACAGCATCCTAACTTTTACATCTCCTGTGTCCATCTTGTGTCCATCTTGTTTGTCATTCTAATTTTCTCCATACTGTGTCCCGACTGATCTATCTCAAATGCAAATCTAACTAGTCCACCTATTGGGAGGGTATAATAACTCAAGCTCTTCTATGTGTCACATAGGGTCTTCACTTTCTGAGCTTTAATTACTTCAGCCTTGCCTCCGTCCCTTTCCTGGAAACTCTTGTTTACATCTCTAGGTCTTAACATAAGCAGCCCCATTGCTGGAATGCTTACTTAAGCTATCCTTAATACTGCTTATTCACATTCAAAAGTAACCCCAAAGAGGCACAGTGCATAATATCAAAGACTGTAATAAGACAGACGGGGCTTTTCACATGATATCTGTGTCAACTTGTGTTTAAAACCTCTCACAGCTAATTTCTTTATCTGTAAAAATGGGAAATGGTGCCTACTTCCCAACATGTTCTGAAGATTAGAGAACATAGTAGATATCCCACAAAACCAATTCAGTGCATCAGTTATCATTTTTTCCTGAATGTAATAAACACAAAAACAAAACAAAACAAGAAATACACAAGTCTCTCTCTTCCAGACCTATCTTTCAGAATTTAACCAGGAATTTTCTCCTCCTAGAAGTTTTTCATGCTCTCTTGCCCCCACGTCTGAAGTGGGCACCCCTCCTTGTGATTCTTTTAATTACAGAGCTTGTAATTGCCCGTCTCACTCATGAAACTATAAATTGCATGGAAATTTCAATGGTGTCATGTAGCTTGGCATCGAGCAGGCTCAAAAGTATTGGACGAATGAATGAATAAATGAAGCATTATACCAGTACAAGCTGAAGAATTCTTGATGTCCTTTTTTTTTTTTTACAGTAACTGCAAATTTTATTGTATCCATTTTTTGTTTTGTCTACCTGGGCTGATCACCAAAAAAGAATATGAATTAAACAAACAGGAATTAATCATGTAGTCTGTAAATGCAACCAAGTAAAGCATCTATATTACTATAAATATATAATATAAAGAATATATATAATATATTATATTATATATATATATAATATTAATAATACATAATAACCAATATATAATATAAAGAATTACTATAAAGAATAATAAAAAGAGTTTTGAATTAATGCTATCTTTGAAAATGACATGGATAGTCAAGAAAATATGACTACATATTGGCTGTGTGAAAAATGATCCTATTAACTGTACGTAATTATCATCCATTTTAAAAATAATTTTCTTTTAAGATAATGGGAAGAACCATGAGATTTTTTTTATGATGGTCAAGTACTTGTGATGCATCATTTATCAAACAGGTTATCTTTCAAAGGAGAATGAAGTTTTATCATTGTCTTAAAACATCAAAATGAAGAAATAAGACTCAACTGCTGTTAATTAAAACATAAGCATATCACTTAGTTTCTGTAGAAAAAGAACAATTCATTCAGCTAATACACCCTCTTCTCACTTATTGACATTCCTAAGACCAGGTCATTATGTGAAAATCAGTGTTGTATGAGAATGTAGGATGACCATATCAGATCATAAAATGGAGGATGACTACATCATTACATAACTGCCAATTACATCCTTACATAACTGCCAAACCACTGAGAATCATGGCCCAGCCAGGTTGATATACCACCTTCACCATCACAGCAAGCATTACCCCTCGCACCTCAGTGTTCATGAACTTCGTTAAAATACAAAATAGTCAGATAGTAGATTTTTTACTACTTTCATGCAAAATGTTGGATAATGACATTTCGTTATCCAATTAGTTGATAAATGAGTATCTCTATGTACTTAATACCAAATATATATGAGATGTTTTCTAGGCATGGGAAATACAATAGTGAACAAGAAAGACAAAATCTTTTTACCTATGGATATTATAAACTAGTTGTCATTAAGTGGGTTCTGACTAGTCCCTGAGTAGTGCAAATGGTTGATGTGCTTGGCTGCTAACCAAAAAGTCAGAGTTTTGAGTTCACCCAGAGGTACCTCAAAAGAAAGACCTCGGGATCTACTTCTGAAAAACTTCACTGTTGAAAACCTATGGAGTATAGTTCTACTCTGACATACATGGGGTCACCATGAGTCAGAACCAACTTGATGGCAACTGGGTTTTTTTTGGTGGATATTATAGTAATATACATGAACAACTTTTTTTTTTTTTTAAGAAATCAATTAAAAGAGAAAAGTGTTTAAAAGAACTTTCTATTAAACACCAAAATTTCCAAATTGTTTTAAATTCTAGTAAAAGCTAGTTTTTTCAGAATATTCAAATGTTAATTCATATAGAAGCCACAACTGACAATAATTTAACTGATATTTTTCCTAGATATAATCAAATGCAAAAGAGAAAGAAGTCCCTCTAGTCCTCAGCAATGTCCACTTTGCATGAACCCCAGAGCGTCCGAAGGCAAGTCCTTTGCTATGGTCCCACCTGCAGCTTTCATATGTGCCAAGCCAGCTATCGATCCATCTCTGAAACTCAAAAGCCTGAACATTCTAGAAGACAGTGGTTCGGCCTCCATCTCTCCCCAAGATTTCATGGCACCCTTTGGCTCCCTCATCTTGAATATGACGGACCAGTCTGGAAATGAAGCTAATATAGTCTGCAGTATCCAGAAGCCCTCAAGGACATCACCCATTACATTCACTGAAGAAAAGGACTATGTTCTGGTAAACACATCATTTTCTACATTTCTGGTGTGTAATGTAGATTACAGCAATATTCAACCAGTGTGGCAAGTTCTAGCTTTGTACAGTGATTCTCCTCTGATACTAGAAAGGAGCCATTTGATCACTGAAACACCCCACCTCTGTTACAAATATAAACAGCTAGATTCTAAGCTTGAAGACATTTTCACCAACATAGAGGCTGATCTCAGAACAGATCCCTCTTGGTTAATGCAAGACCAAATTTCTTTGCAACTAAATAGAAATACTACCACATTCAGTACATTGCATATTCACTACTGGAGTGATGCTCAAATCACTGTACCAAGGACAGAGATGAGACCAGTGAAACACAAATGGACCATGATTTCAAGGGATAACAATACTAAGTTGGAACATACTGTTTTGGTTGGTGGGAGCATTGAACTGGACTGTCCAGGCCAAGGAGACCCCACTCCACATTTGGAGTGGCTTCTAGCTGATGGGAGTAAAGTGAGAGCCCCTTATGTTAGTGAAGATGGACGAATTCTAATAGACAAAAGTGGAAAACTACAACTTCAGATGGCTGATAGTTTTGACACAGGTGTATACCACTGTGTAAGCACCAATTATGATGATGCAGATATTCTCACTTACAGGATAATTGTGATAGAGGCCTCTGTAGAAGCCCATCATGAAAATGGGGCTCATCACACAGTTTTCACTGGTGACACACTTGACCTTCCATGTCATTCTACTGGTATCCCAGATGCCTCTGTTAGCTGGGTTCTTCCTGGAAACACTGTGCTCTGTCAGTCCTCAAGAGATAAGCAAATTCTTAACAATGGCACATTAAGAATATTACAAGTCACCCTGAAAGACCAGGGACATTATTGTTGTGTAGCAGCCAACCCATCAGGGGTTGATCTTTTGATTTTCCAAGTTTCAGTCAAAATAAAAGGACAAAAGCCAGTGGAGCATGATGGAGAAACAGATGGCTCTGGACTTGATGAACCCAACCCCACTGCTCACCCTAAGGATCCACCAGCTATTCAACTCCCTTCTTCTGCTCCAATGGAAGCTGAGGTTGAAAAACAGATAATAAACCCAAGTAAGAAGCACAACTATTGGAAGTTAATACACCGCCGGCGTGGAGATTCAACAAATCGAAATTTTAGGGAGCACAGGAGGCAGTTTCCTCCCTTTGCTAGGAAAATTGACCCACAACATTGGGCAGTGCTTTTGGAGAAAGCTAAAAAGAATGTTGTCACAGAGAAACGAGAAAATACCACAATACAGCCAACTCCACAAGTCACCCAACTCCTGAAACTACCTGGTGAGGAAGAAGAAAGCTCAGGTGTGCTCCCTCCAGATGAGGAATTTATGGTTCTGGTAACTGAAGCTCCAGATGTTCCAGCAAGGACACTTACTGCAGATTCCAGAAAAATATCCAGTAGCCTTGTGTCAGATATAATAACTTCTGGCACCGAAGCCTCTCCAGCTGTGAGTCCACAAATACTATCACCTGAAAATCTTGTACATTTCAATCCATACACTGCTGTGAAAAGTACAGCCCTGCCAATGAAAACAAATCCAACCACATCAACCAAAATGCATGACATTATCAACCAGAATTCATACACTATTTTTCCTCTTCCATCTGGAGCTCCTGAACTTCGGAACATAGATCAGATGGGGAGGAGTACACCTCCAATAACACTGGGTACTGGGATCAATGATGTCAATATCAAAATGCTTAGCAATGCTAACAGTAAGGCTGATGTATTCTTAGTCTCAGTAAATACCATGAATGAGCATCAGACAACTGGAAATGTAGTCAGTGAACCTAGGAGCAATCACTTCTACTCTCACAGTACTCAACAACTTAGGAACTCTACACACCCTACAGAACCATACACTGGTGTCAATTCTCAGTTACAGACTCCTAGAAATAGCACATCTAACACTGCACTCTCCAGACGGTTTGGGAGACGGAGGAAAATTTGGAGCAAAGGGCGAATTACCAGCCCATACAGAACTCCAATTCTTGGACAGCATAGATATGGCTTTGCGAGATCAAGACTCAGAGGTTCTTCTGAAGACACTACTACCACATTTTCAGCCACAGAGCCCAGTGTGATGTGCCCATCCTGTTCTCCCAGGGAGAGGCTTGCCCCTGCTACAGAAGCACTGTCTTTTCCAAGTTCTTCCCCGGTTACCCTCCCCAAAGCTGATGTTGCCAAAGCCATGTCAGAAGAGTCTACAACTCTATTTCTGAGTCCATCATTGCTATTCGATAGCAAACTAGACATCGAAAAAACAACACCCACAATAAGATATTTCAATGCTGAAAGTATCCAAGTGGCTCCAACTGGTGCAGTCAGGACTCAAGCTAAAACATCCATATATATGGAAAAAAATCATTTAATGAATGCTGGTTACCCAAATGTGCCTAGCATCTGGGAAACTAAAAGAGATTCATTGACTATATCACCATTTTCAGACCCCATTACCAAGCCATCTATGCCTAATACTATAGCTATTACAAGATTTTCAAGAAGGAAAATTCCCTGGCTTCGCATCTTTGTCAATAACTATATCCAAAAAGAAAGGTTAAAGAATAAACATAAATTTAGTTCACAAAAAAGCACAGCCACAGTGCTTCCAAAAATACCTCCTGCTTTGCCCACAGATAAAGTTTCCTCTTTGCATTTAACAACACTCTCAGCAAATGTGAAGCAAATTCCATCTGTAACATTGGCTACAACTCACCATAATACCACTGAAACGCAAAGTCCTAGAGGTCTCCCGCTGATGAAGAAGCAGCCCTTCCCACCCCTGTACTCTACACTTGCTAGTATTGCAAGCAAAGAATCACATACAACAAAGTTCACATCAGTGCCAACAGTCGCACTGACAACTCCTACTGCCTCTGCATCAGTCATGATCAGTAAAATCCAACCAGCCAGACCTGGGGCACAAAAAGAACAAAGACAAAAGGAAACCCAGAAGAATAGAAATGGGCCAAATGTCTCTCTAGCACAGAGTTCTGACTTTGTGACATCCACTGCTGTGGCACCTCCTGTTCTAACTACAGTTGAAGCTTTGAATAAGTCCAAGGTCTCTGTTTTTATTCATTCTCCCCTAGAAAATCCAAAAGGGGTCTCAAGCAAAATTGGTTTCCATTCAAGAACTCTTAATCTGACAGATATAATTAAAGAACTACCCCAAGAGAGTACTCAGACTGTGAGGAGCATAACTGCTTCACAAACTACTATGTCTAGCAAACACCACCAGAGTACCACACCCAGGGAAGCACTCATTAGACACTCAACTGGGCCACCATTCTTGAGCACTCATGGCACTCCATTGCCAATCCCCACCCATCCCTTTACTCAAAGAGCAGTTACTGACAATGAAGTAACTCCCATTTTCAGGATGATGGCAAATGCATTGGTCAAGCCATCTGAGTCCTCAAGGCATGATGCTAATTCACACCAGTTAGCAGGAGAGGCTGCAACATCTCCCAAGGCTCAGCCAAATGTTCAATTCACAATTGGAACCACACACTTCATACACTCTAATGAGTTACATTCTTCTACTCTGCCAGGACTAATCACAGTTAAACCACAGAATTCTAAATGGACTCCTTCTTCCTGGTCAGAAAACCAATTTGGGCACAAGTCATACCCAGAAATTGCTGAAAATGGCAAAAAGCCAGTCGTAAGCACATTGCCCACTCTAGACTTGCTAGTGGACACCACTCCTGCATCACACTGGGATGGAGAGAAGTCTGCAGAGAAGAGTGGCTTCAAGAAGACAAACATTAAAACAATAACCACTTCTGAATTCCTTCCCTTTGAATCATTATCTAGGAATACATTTGAGAAGCCCAGAATAGTTGGAGGAAGAGCTGCAAGTTTCACCATTCCTGCTAACTCAGATGCCTTTCTTCCCTGTGAGGCTGTTGGAAAGCCCCTGCCCACTATCCGTTGGACCAGGGTCTCATCAGGTATTTGAAACTATTTCATGTCATTGAATCTATTTTAGCAAAAAAAAAAACAATGAAAAAAGATTGTGTTACGTTTCAGAGTCACATGTCCAAAGAATCAACATCAGTTTCAAATTTCTCTAAGACCCAGAAATTATTAATATCCTTAGTTGACACTGGCATTTTTTTGCTCATTAAAATGTTTTAAAACATATATTAAAAACATTTTTTGAAAATGCTTTGAAAACAAACTCAAGGCAATATGATTTGAAAAAGAGAGTGATCATTGTGTCAACTCTTCTGGCTTTTAAATTATAAATATGTGAATAAAAAATTCCAGGAATAATTTTGGTAATCTGGGGATTAGCTGTCCTAATTTTATTTTAAAATATATTTATTCTCAGCACCCTAACAAAAAGATAGCTTTCTTCTTGACATTACTACTTGAACAAATTATGTTTTTTGACTGCATTTCGATGGCCTATGACTATAAATTTCTTTCTTCTTATCAGGACTTGATTTGTCTAAAAGGATACAAAATAGCAGGTTCCAAGTGCTCCCCAATGGTACCCTGGCCATTCAGAGGGTGGACATTCAGGACCGCGGACAGTACCTGTGTTCAGCATCCAACCCTTTTGGCACCGACCACCTTCATGTCACCTTGTCTGTGGTTTCCTATCCCCCCAGGATCCTGGAGAGACGTACCAAGGAGATCACAGTTCATTCTGGAAGCACCGTGGAATTAAAGTGCGCAGCTGAAGGTAGGCCGGGTCCTATGATTTCCTGGATTCTGGCAAACCGAACAGTGGTCACAGAATCATCTGAAGGAAACAGGCAGGCTGTGGTGAAATCTGATGGAACACTGGTTATCTACAATCTCAGCATTTACGACCGTGGCTTTTACAAATGCACGGCCAGCAACTCAGCTGGCAAGGACTCACTGCTGGTTAAAATACAAGTCATTGCAGCCCCACCTGTTATTCTAGAACAAAAGAGGCAAGTCCTTGTAGGGACTTTGGGTGAAAGTTTGAGGCTACCCTGCACTGCAGAAGGAACTCCTCAGCCCAGTGTTAAATGGGTCCTGTCTGATGGCACTGAAATCAAACCATTGCAATTTATCAATTCCAAATTGTTCTTATTTTCGAATGGAACTCTATATATTAGAAATGTAGCCTCTTCAGACAGGGGCACTTACGAGTGCATTGCTACCAGCTCCACAGGCTCGGAGAGAAGAGTGGTAGTGCTTATGGTGGAAGAGCAAGAGACCATTCCCAGGATAGAAGTTGCATCCCAGAAATGGACTGAGGTGAATTTTGGGGACAAGTTACTACTGAACTGCTCAGCTACTGGAGAGCCTAAGCCTAAAATAATCTGGAGGTTACCGTCCAAGGCTGTTGTAGACCAGTGGCACAGGTAAACGCATGTTGTTATGTTGGAATCATTTTCTTTCTTTATTTAGCTGCACAACTTTGGAAATGGAAAAAGCAATACACGGAGTCTAACAGAAGTTTTCGAGAACCCACAGATTCTGCACATAAAGGCAACACTTTCCAAAGAGAATCATCCTTTTGATGTCATCTGGGATATAAAAACCAAGCTTTTTCACAAGGTTAAGGGTCAACTTCTCACTGAGTTTATAGAATTAAAAGCAAGGTAAAAGTCTCATTTGCCTCATACTTACGACAGTTTTAAAATAGTAACTATAAATGTAGCATATTCTCTCTATCCAAACTAGAGTAGGAAATTGTTGTAATGCAGTCAAGGCTCTGGAGAGACACTCCATTACTTCATTCTTCATGGGCTCCTTTTAAACAATTTAAACATTAATACAATCAGAACATAATTATTTTTCCATAAAACTGCAAAATCTTTTATGAAAAGAACAACAATAAGACTTGCACATGGCTGATTGTATTCAGGAGCTCCACCACCTTGATAGAGACATATATACAGACACATAGGTTCTCTAAAATGCCCTGTGATAGGCATATCAATACTGATTTCATGCTATCTTTTAAAAGCAATTATAGCTTATAAAAAAAAGAGATACCATCAACTCACTGGACTCATGATGACCCCATGTGTGTCAGAGTGAAACTGTACACCATAAGATTTCCAGTGGCTAAATTTTCAGAATTGATCACCAGGCCTTTCTTGCAAAGGTGCCTTTGGGTAGATGGACTCAAACTTCCAACCTTTTAGTTAGTAATTTAGTGTTCTAACCATTTGTACCATCCACAGAGTCCAATTATAGCTTCTAAAAGTTATCAATTTTGACATTTACATGCCTTTATGTGATGATTTTCCATAAAATACCAAAAAAAAAAAAGATGTGTGGGCATTTCTATTTTATATATTTGTTTATTCATTAGTGGAAAACATCCATGCAGAAGAAGCTATGTTAGATAAGAAATTATGCTATAAGTAGACAAGTAGATCTTTTTAGGGTTAAAGTGAGTTGCTGTTACATGTAGTTAATGAAATCACCTTGAGATCTTTAATTCAAAAGTAACAGTTGATTTTCAAGTTTTTAAAATAATAATAGGCCATCAAAATTATCTGACTATTAAATTGAATTTATTTTTTAAATAAAAATTGCTGTTATGAAATATAAGGAGCTTTGGTGGTGTAGTCATTAAGGCATCTGGCTGCTTACTACAAGGTCAGCAGTTCAAACCTACCAGCCACTCCATGGAAGGAGGATGGGGCAATCTACTTCCTTAAAGATCTACAGCCTCAGGAACCCAATGGGGGTTGCTAAGAGTGGGAATCCACTTGATGGCAGTAGATTTTTAGATGTTGTTCTTCTTGTTGTCGTTATGAAATATGAACTTTAGAAAGCACATATTTATGTTTGTTATCTACTATACATCTACCTATGTATGGCATCAAATCTTTTCAAAGCTTTATTTATTGGTTATGGTATTTAATTTCACAATAACAGCATGTCATGTTTTGGCCTTCACTTTATTGTAAGCATTTCATTAATACCAAATGCCAGTTCTATTTTCTGAAACTAATGCAGTTAAAATAAATCCCACAGCTCATAGGTGTGATTCTCCTTTATACAAGTGTTGTTCACTATACTGAGTGATGCAAATACAATTTTCACTAGCCACACAGAAACCCATGCAAGAACTAGGGAAGACATCACACTTGCTATGGGAGTAACAGATAAAGTTTAAAATTTAGGCTCTAAGGACGTGGTCAAAACATTTACTGTGCAGTAAACCCATTTTAGAAAATGTAAATCTTTGATCAGGAGTTAGGAAAAAGTTTAAGAGAATATCATAAGAAGTTAATCCAAAGGAAGTCTGGAAAGTGTTCCAAAACACATTATTAGTACCTCAGAATGACTCCTAATCAGGTATTCCAATTAAATGAATCAGGTATTCCAAAATACCTCCTAATCAAGTATTCCACATTCCAATGAAATCCTGCAAGGAAATTAGGCAGGTTGTTTACATTTTGTTTTGGGAAAGTCCTTAAAGCATACATGGAAAGATTGTTCACACTGTGGAGAGCATATAAGATCACAGATGCTACTTTAATGATTGCTTTGGAACTAACCTACTCAAAAAGGCAGGAATATTTTACTTACATGTTTTAGATATTCCAACTGAAAGAAAAAGGGCACTTCTATTGCAATAATAATAATAATAATAGTAATAATAGTAATAAAATTTCCATCATAGCAATGCTTATCCAAGTCCACTCCGCAATGGGCAACATAAACAAAACCCTTTTAGTTTCTTCTGATGGTCACCATTGTAAGGTCACAGTAAGGAGAAAAGGACGCACAAAAGTGAGGTTAAAGAGAAGTTTTTATTCTGAGTTTCCAGGGGAGGTTTATGGGCCCCCGAGAGGGGCCTGGGCGAGGTTCACGGGTCCCTGAGAGGGGCCCGGGAAGTCGCACCACCTGGCTGGGGAGGGGAAGGTTTATAGTCTTGTGGAGGACCTAAGCGGGGACACTAAGGAAATAGTGGAGTCCAATTAGCTGTTAGTATGGGTCTGCACTTAATTAGCATGAGGGGGCTTCACAAGAGGAAGTTTGCCACTGCATGGGACTTTCCAGTCTGGGCGGGTTCTGTTACTTCCGTTGTCTTATCAGGCTGTCTCATCAGGGCTTGACGCCTGGAGGAAGCTGCTAACTGAAATGTTGGTGGCTTGGGTTTGCTTCGTCCTAACAACCATCACCCAAAAATCCTTTCTTGATGTTTTTTAATGGTCCCAGACTCAGAGCACTACTAGTCTACTCTACCACTTTAGCTTATGCATTCTATGTTTCAGTGCAGGGTTGTATTTTCTCTCCTTTGGGATCTTGCTCATCATGACCTGGGAGCTTGTCACGTGTGCAGAATGTATATCTGAATCTGCAGTATAAAAAGGTCCCCAGGTGAATTGTGTGCACATTTAAGTCTGAGAATCACTGCTATGGAAAACCATAGATGCTTGCTTACGTGTTAATAAAATTGCATTTCTTTTCCTTTTAACAAGTAAACTTTTAGAAGTAAACTGTCTTGAAAAGAAAGAGTTATGTTTCTATTTTATACACAGTGAAACCTGTAAGTGCTGGAACTTGACGGGACTGCCTTGTTTATCCAGGTATCGCGAAATTTTCCCCAGAGCTTCTAACAGGCCCCTCTGCTGTGCACCTGAATTTCCACCCCAGATACACTGAATCAGAATCTATAGTTTAATAAGATCCTAAGTGATTCTTAAGTAGCATAGTGCCTAAGGCACTTGACTGCTAACCAGAAGGCTGGCGATTCAAACCCACCAGCCACTCCTCAGAAGGAAGATGGGGCAATCTACTTCCGTAGTGATACTGCCTCGGAAACCCAAGGAGGGGTCGCTATGAGTCGGTCCGACTCTACGGTATATAACAACATAACAACACGTGATTCTTGTATATACATAGCTCTTGTTAAAATATAGATATTGATCAGTATATCTGGGGTAGAAATGCAAATTCTCAGCAGGGGGTTGAAGCGGAATGAACTAGTTTGAAACCCTGCTTAAATAAGGCCCCATGTGCTTCTGTTAAGGAGCTCTGGTGGTGTAGTGTTTAAAGCATTTGGCTGTTAATCATAAAGGTCAGTGGTTTGAACCCACCAGCTGCTCCATGGAAGAAGATGAGGTAGTCTACTTCTGTAAAGATTATAGCCTTGGAAACTCAATGGGGGTTGCTATGAGTCAGAATCAACTGGATAGTAGTGAGTCTTTTTTTTTTTTTTTTTGTGATTCTGATGCAGGGATTAGGGGATCTGCATTATGATCCAAGCTTTAGAGCAGTGGTTGTAGACTTTGCTGCACATAAGAATCACCTCGGAAACTTTAAAAACATTAATACCTAGGTCACGCTCCACCACCAATTAAATAAAAAATTCCAGAAGTGGGACTTAGGCATCATTTTTATTTTAAACTCCACAGGGGATTTTAATGTGTGTTCAAGTTTGAGAATTAGTGTTTTTGGAGAGCAACTCCTTGGGGGCAGCTCCACTCTGTCCTCTGGGTCACTGTGAGTCAAAATTGAACAGCAACAGGTTTGGTTTGGGTTTAGGTTTAGGAAACAATAGCAGGTGGCAATGTACCACAGTGAAAAAGTTAGGGTTTGGGAGCCAGACTAAGGCAAAGCACCTTGCATTTTCCATTCCTTTTATTCAGTGCATCCATTATGATGATTTTATCTTGATTTATATGCCAGAGAAGTGCCTTTCACAGGAGAAAAAATGAAAAGAACACCAGCATCCTTTTAGAATGCATAACTGCAATACTTTCTGTGCTTCTTAAGTTTACTGGAGAATAAAAATTGACTGCAGGCTGTTTGACTGCTACTGTTAGCAGTTATGCTATGTAAGGTAGTTTTCTGGTTCACCTACCTGTGTAAGCTATGTCACCAAATAATTAGAAGAAAAACATATAGATGGATTCTTAGCTATGGTGCTCTTGATCTCCTTTTTGCATAACCAGCCACTCCTCGGAAGGAATACTGGGAAATCTACTTCCATACTGATACTACCTTAGAAAGCCAAGGAGGAGTTACTATGAGTCTGGACCAACTCCATGGCAATGAGTTTGGTTTGATTTGGTTTTTGTTGTTTCTGAAGCTCTGATTTAGTTTTACCAGTAAAAATCTGCCATCTGGTGGTTAAATGTGGTAATGCCAGGCAGTTTAGTTTTAGTGGAGTTCCTGGATAGTGCAAACCACTAACCAGTTTGGCTATTACTGACATTCAAATCTACCCAGTGGTACCTCAATCTATTTCCGAACAGCTTGGCAGTCTACTTGCGAAAAATCAGCCATCGAAAGCCTACAGAGCACAGTTCTACCCTGACACACATGGGTCGCCATGAGCCGGAGTCAATTCAACGGCATGTTTTGACAGCTGACCAGAAGGTTGGCGGTTCAAACCCAGCAGCCACTCCATGGAAGGAAACTGGGCAATCTACTTCCGTAAAGATTTATTACCTTGGAAACCCGAAGGTTTTTATGAGTTGGAATTGACTAAATGGCAGTGAAGTTATTTATTTAGTTTTTAAATTATTCACTCCGAGAAACCAAACCAACAAACCCAACTCACTGTCATGGACTCAATTTCAAGGCTGTACATCTTTATGGACGCACACTGCCACATCTTTCTTCTGCAGAACAGCTAGTGGGTTCCAACCATTGAACTTGTTTTGGTTAGCAGCCCTATGCCTTAACCACTGTGTAACCAGAGTTCCTGCCTCTTCTCTCAAACTAAAAAAAAAAAAAAAAAAAGAGGAGAAAAATGTTCTACATAGTTCAACCTGATGCAGAGGCTTTGAAGTGATTTTACAGCTGCATACAAAAGGCAGATGCTGTCACAAACTTCTAATGGGAGCTCCACTGGCAACAGCTCTTTTTATAACAAAGCAGAACTTGTTTTCTTTGATTCAATAACATCTTTTAAAAGTATAATGTGGCATTGTTTTCTATCCAATCAAGTTGCCAAATTTCAGTGCTGTGTGAAAGTTCCCTTTCCCTTCACCTATATCACAAAATGGTAACTTTTGTGGACTTAGATTATTTAGGAGCTCTGGTGGTGCTGTGGTTAAAGCACTGGGCTGCTAAGCAAAAGATTGTTGGTTCAAACCTGGCAGTTGCTTCATGGAGGAGAAAGACAAGGCAGTCTGCTTCTGTAAAAATTTACAGCCTTGGGAACCCTGTGAGGGCAGTTCTCCTCTGTTCTATAGGGTTGCTATAGAACTGGATGACAGTGGGTTTGGTTTGCATTATTTTATTTGATATGTAAAATGGGCAAAGACGTCATACTGTCTAGGGCTTCAATATTTCTAGAATTTCCCTATTGAATTTTTTTTTTTTTTTAAAAAAACCTTTCTATAAAGGAGACTCATTTGAAGGCCACCTGAGAACTACTACATTTGTACTAAATTACAACTATTTAATGAGATTTCATCTTTCAGCAAATTAGAAAATAGTAAAACTTCTAATATTGAGTTTAATTTTCATTGCAACAGTTTCAATGTCCATAAAGCTAATTCCATTTAAAGTACCACTCTCCCCACTAACAGCTACACAAGGAGCTATAATGATACTGTAGTCAAAGCGCTTGGCTGCTAACCAAAAGTTTGGCAGTTCAAACCCACCAGCCACTCCACAAGATGAGGCAGTCAACTTTTGTAAAGATTCACAGCCTTGGAAACCTTATGGGGCAGTTGACTCGATAGTAGTGAGTTCGGTTTGGTTAACAGCTACACACTCTAATGACTCTCTTCTCTCCTTAGAATGGGCAGCCGAATTCACGTCTACCCAAATGGATCCCTGCTTATTGGATCAGTAACAGAAAAAGATGGTGGTGACTACGTGTGTGTGGCCCGAAACAAAATGGGAGATGATCTGATACTGATGCACGTCAGCCCACGCCTGAAGCCTGCCAAAATTGACCACAAGCAGCATTTTAAAAAACAAGTGCTTCATGGCAAAGATTTCCAAGTCGACTGCAAGGCTTCTGGCTCCCCAGTACCAGAGATATCCTGGAGTCTGCCTGATGGAACACTGATTAACAATGCAATGCAAGCAGATGACAGCGGCCACCGGACCCGGAGGTACATCCTTTTCGACAATGGAACTTTATACTTCAACAAAGTTGGGGTAGCAGAGGAAGGAGATTATACTTGCTATGCCCAGAACACCCTAGGGAAGGACGAGATGAAGGTCCACCTGACAGTCATAACGGCTGCACCACGGATAAGGCAGGGTTATAAGACCTACACAAGAGTCAAGGCTGGAGACATGGCCATCCTTGACTGTGAGGTTGTTGGGGAACCCAAGCCAAAACTATTTTGGTTGCTGCCTTCCAATGACATGATTTCATTCTCCAATGACAGGTACACGTTTCATGCCAATGGATCTTTATCCATAAACAAAGTTAAACTGCTTGATTCTGGAGAGTATGTGTGTGTAGCCCGAAATCCCAGAGGAGATGACACTAAAATGTACAAACTGGATGTTGTTTCCAAACCTCCATTAATCAATGGTCTATATAGAAACAAAACTGTCATTAGAGTCACGGCTGTGAGGCATTCCAAGAAGCACTTAGACTGCAGAGCTGAAGGGACACCAACTCCTCAAATCATGTGGATCATGCCAGACAATATTTTCCTTACAGTCCCATACTATGGGAGCAGAATCACAGTCCACAAAAATGGGACCTTGGAAATTAGAAATGTGAGGCTTTCAGATTCAGCTGATTTCATCTGTGTGGCTCGGAATGAAGGAGGAGAGAGTGTGTTGGTGGTGCAGTTAGAAGTACTAGAAATGCTGAGAAGGCCAACATTCAGAAATCCATTTAATGAAAAAATATTTGCCCGACTGGGAAAGCCCACAGCATTGAATTGCTCTGTTGATGGAAACCCACCACCAGAAATAATCTGGATTTTACCAAATGGCACAAGCTTTTCCAATGGACCACAAAATCCTCAGTATCAGATTGCAAGCAATGGTTCTTTTATCATTTATAAAACAACTCGAGAAGATGCAGGAAAGTATCGCTGTGCAGCAAGGAATAAAGTTGGCTACATTGAGAAGTTAATTGTACTGGAAATTGGCCAGAAACCAGTAATTCTTACTTATGCACTAGGCACAGTAAAGGGCATCAGTGGAGACTCTCTATTGCTGCATTGTGTGTCTGATGGAAGCCCTAAACCAAGTATCAAATGGACTTTACCAAATGGTCATGTAATAGATAAGCCTCAAACCAACAGAAAATACATATTGCATGAAAATGGCACTTTAGTCATCAAAGAAGCAACTGCTTATAACAGAGGCAACTATATTTGTGAGGCTGAAAACAGTGTTGGCCATGCACTGATTACTGTTCCAGTAATGATTGTAGCCTACCCTCCCCGAATCACAAATCACCCACCCAGGAGCATCCTCACAAGGACAGGATCAGCTGTGCAGCTCAACTGTGTGGCCTTGGGAGTCCCCAAGCCAGATGTCACATGGGAGATGCCTGACCATTCCCTGCTCTCAAAGGCAAGTAAAGGAAGGACACATAGAAGTGAGCTGTTTCACCCACAGGGTACCCTAGCCATTCAGAACCTTCAAACTTCAGACTCGGGGATTTACAAATGCATCGCAAAGAATCCACTTGGGAGTGATTATGCAACAACTTATATTCAAGTAATCTGACATAAAATAAAGTTCAAAAAAACAAAACAAAACTGTATGAACAAAGCCAACATCTGGACAGAGCTTGTTTTTTGGAAGAAGTTTAATCAAAGGCAGCCAGAGGCATGTAAATGAATTTGAATACATTTACAATATTAAATTTACAATGGACATGCAAAAGAAGACTTGTAAATAAATGCATTATGAACTGGTACTTATTTCTTTAATGGATCTCGAAACAAAATTTTAACTTAAGGCACTTTTATTTTGCCAACAAATAACAATGAACATTAAAACTACTGACCATAAAATGATCAATGGCTAGTGTACCTGAATTCTTCAGTCAAGAGTGGACTTTTTCTCTTTTGCTACCAGTTGCCTAGTGTCCATCTTCTATCAGTGTTACAAGCATGGCACTCAGAACACACACAATGGGAAAGATTAAATTTGTGGTCTTGGTGTAAATTTACCATGTTGATGTACAAGTATTTTGTGGTTGTTTTTAAAGTATTTTACTAAAACCTACAGAAAATAAGCATTGAACTGTTTTGATTATGATTCACCATTTGTTCAAACTGAAAATTTTCATTGGTGGGGAATACAAAAATGCTTTAATAACTACATTTAAAAATAAATGCAGTCTAACTCTTCCACATGTAAAAAGCAACTTAACACCTGCACATCATAAAATGTGAAAAGGGGGCTGATTACATCTTTGCCCAAATAACTCATTAAAAAGGTTTTTAAAAATGTAATGAAGCTTCTTTATAATGTCAAAATCTAGTTCAGGAACCCCTGATCTGGAGCTGTCTACAAGGAAAATTGAGGAGGAACCATTGCTTTACAAGCATTTTATTTTCATTATGTGGTAATTCTTTACACCAGGGAAAAATGTTTGGGAGGATCTAGCTCTATTACATAGAATGAAATTTCACTGTATTTAAAATTTGACCAATCCTACACAAAATGCTGCTTTTGTAATTGACGTAATTTATTTACATGACATGCTTAATTCAACCTGAATTAATATAGGGGGCATTAGATGCTTCATCTTTTTAATTCTAGAGGTTAGGATTTTTCCAGTGTACTTTCTCTAGTAACTATTCAAATATTTGCCTATTATTTAAGAAGATCTATAGAAGCCTTAGTAGGGGTGTATGTGTGTGTGTGTGGGGTGGGGGGAGTAAAGAAGAAAATGCCATTAAGTCCTACTCAGATATCTCAGTAGAGAAAGATGAGAGCTATGTTAGCCTTCACGGTGTTTCATCAGCTAGCCCTACCTATGGGATGACCTGATTGCTACTCATCTCTGGTGTTGGTGTCCTGTGGCTGCAAAAGGCCAAAGGACACTCATTCTGACAGTGATCTTCTGCCATGTCCTGGCCAAAAATAACATGTCAAATGCAATCCTATCAGGAATGAGCCTTCATGGTAAACAAGCATGCCAAGTCTTCTTATATCTAAAAACTGTGATAGATATACCTAACTCCTATAGAATCCAAGGTCTTACCTTTAAGGGGAGCTAAGGTCCAACTTATCCTAGGATAATTTCTTCTCTAAGTCAACAAGCAAATTACCAAGTTCTGCCATAGGATGGGGCTTTCACTTGTGAACTTTTTAATGCAACTAATATATATGCTGGGGTTGGGGGAAGAAAAATCTCTTAGGATAGAAAAATAAATAGAAAATATGATGAAACTAACATAAAAATTCCAGTTGGTTACTTAATAATCCACAGGGGAAAACCAGCTCTAGGCTTTTCCTCAACTTTCAGTAGAATCTTGGACTATAGGGCTTTACCATGACTTAGCTTTCTCACCTAAAAAAAAAAAAAAAAAAAAAGGACTCTCTCTATATATTCCACAGCTTTCATGTGCAAAAGGATTAATAAATTAACTTCTGCAAAATATAAAGTGCATACAAATGCTATGCAATTATAACACTCATTCTTGAAACAGTATTACTGCTGTTTGCAACACTGAGCTACAAAAATATATGGTTCAAAATGAAAACTGGCATTATAAATACCAATAATTCTTGAAAAGGGGGGTGGGAAACAAGGTCAGAACATGACTACTTAGGCATAACTTTCACATTTCATTTGTTTTGCCAATGTAGTCATTACATGGATATATTACTTTGATGAAAAATAACTTCATGAACCTTTAAATATGATTCTCCAGAGAAAAAAACCTGATATACAAAACCAGTGGAAATGTAAAGATTCATCTTCAGAAAGCAGAGTATGTTAATTTAGTGAAAAGAATGGTCTTTAATGTTTTGGCAAAGTCTTTTCCAGCCCAGAGTAAACACAAAACGAGCAGGCTGGAATAAAATATTTTCACAGTGTACAAAGCAGTTCACATGGATGTTGCCACAGCAAAGGAAGCTGACATGTATTTGAGGTCGTTTGCATGAGTCAACTTTGCAATGAGTAACTCACCTAGGAAGATATAAATTATTTATATAATGATTTGCAAAAGAAATTGTCTACTAAAGTTGTACTAGCTACATTTCAAAAAGTAGCCTACATGGTTTGCTCATTATAGACAGATCTATTCACAGTTTGCTTGACTACATTACATGTAAAATCATATGGCAAAAGAAAATGAATTAATACAGAACATGGGAAAATATCCCCCACATGTTTTAAAATGCCCTGCAATTTTCACATTCAAAATTTTATGCCTCTAAATCTAAAAAAATATTATATGGAATACTCTTAAGTTACACCAACTGATAATAATTTACTGTATTTTTTTTTAACTCTAGTAGGAGCAAATTACCACATACTTGAACAAAGTTAAAATAGTTACTATTTCTTTATAATAAATTTCATGTATAATTTACTTGTGCTTTTTGCACCAATTTATAAATACAGTATATGCAATACACAACCATGACTGACACCAACAATAATTAAATTCAAAATAGCAAATACTTACCATACAAAATAAACAGCAAATATACTATTATGAAAACCAGAGTCTCCTGGACTTTGGGGCCAGATTCTCTGGGAAGCATGTCAAGTTTGAGCACTGTGGAATCTCAGGCCAGCTGGGAGATTTTCTTATTTTTTTCTTTTTCAAGTTGGCATAAGGTTCAAGAGGACCCAAAATGAACACAGTCATTTTTGTCAAATCTGGCAATAATGACTGGAATAATTCCACTGTGGTTTCATTCAGGTCTCCAGAACTTACATTTTGTACCTTCACAAAGATTCTGGCCAATGATCTTGCCACTGAAAACAAACTGGCTACTTCTAACAGGCTTCCACACATCCTAGGTGGTGCTCATAGAAGCCTTCAGTAATTTAAGTACTAAGCAACAATCTGTTTCAGCACCTTTTGACCATGATGAAAGCAAACAATCCTACTGAAATAAGAACAAAGTTTATAAAGTGCTTATGAAATTACAAACATTTCAAATTAAGGTGATGCAAATAAATGTCCATTTCATCATCAAAGGTGAATAAAGAATGAATGGGTCAACTTCTCCATCATGATCCAACATGCCTTTCAAATTAGGAGTTTGGTCCGCCAGTTTGGGGGGAGAAAAAAATCTTCACCAAAAATGAATACATAAATATTAGAAATCCACAATCATTCATTCTTTCTGTAAATGAGTTTCAGAAAAGCACCAATTTCAAAAGGTCTGCTACCAAACTCTTCCTGGGGTGAGCCACGTTTTTACATCTACTTTAATGCTGAATGCAACAAAACCAGACAACAACTTCTCCTTTGCTTTTTGTTGCAACACCTTTGTATGAAATGTAGCATAAAACAGAGGAAAACTTCAAAGAAATAAAAGAACAAAGGGATATTTCTAAGAATGACTAATGTGATAAATTTGATTTTCCATTATTTCAGTGCAAACATATAACTTCTTGTCTTCTCCTCCTTCCAGATTCAGAAGTGTGAAGGGTGCCCGTAGGGAGTTACTCCTTGCTGTGGCTGGTTACCTAATGAGAAAAATACATGCAAACAAAATTACAGATGCAAAATTTCACCACAGGTACATGTGACCCTCTTCTCCCTGCTGTCAGTCCCAGTCTCAGAAACAGGGGAAACACATCAGCCAGGGAGTACAACCGTAGCTCTGAGAGATCCCAGTGACAAGGCCCAAATACAGCCGCTGAATTCATTCTGTGGAGGAGCTAACTTCATATCAGAGTCCCCTATCTGCCAACACAAGGTCTGAGAATTAGGTTTACTGGCTCACCCACAGTCTCCACTTCTGAATTGAGAAACAACTCAAAACTAATATATGAAAGGATCAAACAAAAGCTCTCAAGACATTTCTAGAAACAAGTCAGCAATTCTGTTTTAACACTGACATAATAGATGAGACAAAAAGGTAGACTGTCTTAGCTTGGTTCTGGGTAAGTTTTCACAAATGGCTGTAAGGGACATAGGAGAGAAGTGTGCAATAGCGCACACATGCACAAAAGTGCATGCTGGGAATGTGTGTGCTGATTCTAGTATGTACATGTATACATGCAGGCACACACAGAGGAAAAACGAAGAACAGTCAGGAGATACAAAAAAATTACATAAGCTTAGACAGAGTTCCTGTCTGAACAACTCAGGTTGGACTATTCAAACCCAGAGGTGCTGTTTGTGTGGGTTACATATATACGAGCACATACGTAAGGATAGAGCCCTGTGCAGCTGTGCAGCGGGCAGCTCAGCTTCATTAGCACAGTTCTACAAAGATCATTAGTATAACTGCTGTTATCAGGCAGCAGAGTTTATACCGTGGTTAAGATACGGGTCCTGGAAGAAGATGGTCTGAGTTCCAAGTCCTGGCTTTGCCCCTTACCATAAGTTAAGGAGCCTTGTGTGGATAATTCAGAGTTCCTATTCTTGAGTTGTTTCCTCATCTATAAAATGGGAACAAAAGTAATACCTAACCTCAGAGGATGGCTTAAGAATTCAATGAATTGATAAATGTAAAGTCACAGTGCCTGGATCCAAGTAGGTGCTCCATAAATGATGACTTGAAAACAACAATAACAACAAAACTGTATCCCTTGAGCTCTGGTAGACAGAGAGTGGTATAACTAACGAAAAGGAAAAAAAAAAACAAACAAAAAAAACCATAAGTATGTATTTCAAAACACTAGAAACTATCTAAAAGATGAACTTGATATATCTCCTTAAAATTATATTCTGTCTTTGGCGATGCAAGAATATGAAGTCTGGAACTATTGAAATACTATTTTAAATAGAAAGCCTGTTGATTAGACTACACCTGTTAAATAGCAGTCAGAAAAGATGATTAATTTACATGACTTAATGGAAATTAAATGAAGCCATAGACTGAAATATTTTTCAGACAGCAAGAAGTAAGAGGTTTTCACTCTGGCAGGAAATCAACACTGACAGCAGCCAGGCAGAAAATCAAGGTTCCAACCAAGCTGGCCCTCCATCACAGACTGACCTTTCACCTTACAATAACAGTACGCTACCAGACCCATGTCACTGCCTTCGTCACTAGCTCAGTGAACTCTGTGCCTTAGAGGCACATAATCTGAGACCCAAAAGAGGTCACTGGTCTGTCTCATCACTGCATGGATGAAAAAACCACATACATGGCCCAGCTAATGGTGGTCAATCTGGCATCAGAACTTAGGTCTCCTAAAGTTCATGGTAGTATTTAAGGAAATGATTGGGGCTTTTCCAGGAGAAGCAGTAGTCAACCAAAACAAAAACACCCTGGTCCAAGCCTGAGACGAAAACTGTTCCGAAGGCAGCAATTCAGTTTTTAAGGAGCACTACTTGGGTTTGGCTTGCTTGTTTGTTCCTTTGCTTTTAATTTCCTAGGAGCTATCTGTTCCATGACAGACAGGAGTACTTACTAGAAAGCTGTTTCTGGAGCTGCCGCACCAAGGCAGCCGTCTGTTGCTGCTGCTGGGTCTGCTGCAAGCCTTGCCTGGGAAACTGTAAATTACGACAGGAGAAAGGATGGAAATCAGCCCACTGAGCCAATCACAGATAAGAACAAAGACTAGATCGTGGGGTCATATGGTTTGTAATGTACAACAGAAATGTGTGATGCCCAATGTGATACGTTAAAGTTCCCCTATACCCTAGTAGCAATGGCTAACATCTGAATAACCCTATTTGCACTGCACCTGGCACGACTATTTCTCTCTCAATAGTGCCTCACCCATTCAGGAACCCACTCTCAGGTGGGCATGGTAGTTAGCATTTATTTGAGGGACTCTGATCAAGGACTCCACACTCTAGAGGTGGGGTCCACTGATTCAAATATGTTTGTGATATCATAAATTACCAATTCTCCAACTGGCATCATGATGCTATCAAAACTTTTCAATGGCAAAATCAAAGTCCTCTGGTCAGAGGATTTTTTCAGGCACCATAAGCCTGTTCTTGTGTGAGTGGGGAAAAAGAGTAGAGTAGCACCCTAGGGCTAGGGCTCATCTGGGACCCTGCTCTCCCATATGATGGCAAATCTGGTTGCCTCATCCATTAGACGGTCAGCTCATCTCATCCTTAGCATTGTGAGGGCTGTGAGTCACGTGAGGAGAGTGATATACTGAGAACACAAGTTTTAATGGAGTCTCACTCACAGGGTCGTGCAAGTGCGGGGCCTGGAGAATGAGGACTAAGGCACAATATGGTGATCCACATGCCCTGCTTACATCCACTAAGTTGACAAAAGGAATTATGGTGGTTATTCTAAAGGGAAATAAAAATCAGTATCTGGTGGGAGCAAAATTGACTTCTGATGAGAATCATTTGTTGTACTACTTTACTTTTTCCTTGATCCTTCAAGTATCAGACTGGCATTCTCTCATTTTCTTCTTCCCCTTCCTCCTGCTGGGTTTATTACTGTAGTAACAAAGGCAATGTTCTCATAAAAGGCTTTCTTAACTCATAAGCATGTAAGAATTGTGCTGGCTATTTCTCATTCCCCTCTATAATAGACTTCTTTTTCCACCCTGCTTCGTGCTCATGAGGCAGGCCTGTGGGTGTGCACTGACCAGGTTGGTTCCCTTGTCTTCGACTTATGGATTCTGGATGGAGAAAGGGCACTTCCAGAAGACTAGGGTGTGCAGAGGGGTGCAGAAGCCAAGTGAGCTTGGCAGGGAGCAGGGTAAAGTTTGATTTTATTTTGTTTTTGCCAATTTGCTTCAAACTGGGTTTCTTTTCTGGTTGACTACATTCTGAGAGAAGGTCACAACTTCTGTTGAGTAACCCTCTCTGCTCTCCCCCTTCAAGCCTCATTGGGCCTAGACGTGGTAATTACTGCCTGCCCTGGTGCTTCACCATTCCTAGTTGGCACCCCCTAACTCTTCCCATTACTTTGTATATAAGCCATTTTTAAACTCCACACTACTCAGTATGAGTTCATCATCTGTTTCCTCTTCAGAGTTTGCAACATTGTTGGAAACAGCCCAGGGTTATAGGTAAAATTGTCAGCATCAGCAAACAGAAATAGGGAACACCTAGGTAAATTTGAATTTCAGGTAAACAATAAATGCTGTTTCTCAATCTAAGTATGTCCCAAATATTGCATGGGACAAATATTCCATTTAGTGGGACATACTTATACTAAAATAGTTTGTTGTTAATCTGAAATTCAAATTTAACTGGGAACTTGGTATTTATCTGGCCACCCTAATTACAGGACATCACTAGGTTTATCTGCTTTAAAAGTGAGTATTTGCACTGCACCTGGCACAACTATTTCTCTCTCAATAGACTGTGAGCAACTTTCAGATGAGGACTTGTGCTTTAAACCTAGTGCCCAGCAGTGGCAGGCATATGGTAGGTCCTCAGTAAAATCTACTGAATGACTTGCTCTGAAGTGCCACCAATTCCTACAATCTTCCTAATGACAAAGAAGATACACAAAGTTGATGAAGTATTTCCTCCACTAATGTTACTATGTTCCCTGATGCAAAAAAAAAAAAAAAAAAACTTTTTTTTTTTTTTTTTTTTCCCAAATGATCCAAATCAAGAGGGAAGAGTAAAACAAAAATCTAGCCTTCATTTATGAAAGTAAAATAAGAAATACTTTCTTTTCTCTTCAGTTCTGCCTCTGCTTATTTGGAAATATAACCCTATTAATTTTATTAATTAAAAAAAAAAAAAAGTATGTTATTCACTAGGTGCCAGGCACTGTTCTAGGCATTTTATATATATTAGCCCATATAATCCTGATGCAGTAGTACCTATCCTCAACCTCTTATCCAAAGTCTTTGGGGCAGATGTGTTCTGGAATTCAGTGCATCTACAGCTTGCTATGAACTATACAGAGTAAGCCTATCTACAACGGCACTCCATAATCAAACAAATTTCTGCAGTAAAACACGTGAATAGTCAGGCAGAATAATAGAAAAGAGACTCGTATCCATTCAAGTCAGCTTTTGCTGAAATGAGTTCCAGTTGCAATTTGCTGCTTAATAGTTATATACATAGTATCTCCATCTTCAGAGGTTTTTGAATTTTGGAGATGAATGTAAGATATTATAAACCTTTACTACTATTATTCTCATTTTATTGATGAGGAAACAGAGGTTCAGAGGGGTCAAGTGGCTTGTCCACAATCCCTGTTAAGTACTAAAGCTGGGATTCAGACCAAGCATTCTGGCTCCAGAGATCATAATCTTAACCACTGACCCATGCAATCCTTAATAAGAAGTATGAGTTTCCAAATACTAACTTATTTGAAATAATTATATATTTTAAATGGCTGGCTACAAAAATGTGTAATCTTAACTCATCAGCTGATTAACTAGCATCTTAGGGTACACATTGAATACATATTTAACATTTATTCATTCAACAAATACTTAAGTATCTTCTTTTTCTAAATCTGTTTCAAATAAAGTAATTCATAGACTGATGACACACTGTATTGATCTCCTCAGATTCTACATTTTGAGGATCCAGGCAGAAAGTAAGCATCTAGAAAGCTTGTGTGTGTGTGTGTGTGGATGCGCATACATGTGTTGGGGAGCAGATTTTCAAAGTGTGATCCAGGGAACTTTGGGCATTCCTGAGACTCTTTCAGGGTTTCTGAAAGGTCAAAGCTATTTTCATTATAATAATAAGATATCATTTGCCTTTTTTCACTCATTCTTTCATAAGTGTACAGTGCAATTTTCCACAGGCTACTTGACATGTGATACTGTAACAAACTGAATCCCTTCTATTAAAGACATTAAAGAAACTTGTAAAAATGTAAAACCATGTCATTCTTCTGCATTTTGAAAAATGCAGCTATTTTTCATAAAAAATATGCTATGTTAACATGCAATGAGTATTTTTATTTAAAATAAAGTTCAATTATATATCTTTAATATTTATTTTAATTTCTAACATAGTAAGTAAGCTCTTTGGGTTTGCAAATATTTTTTAATGTGAAGGGGTTGAAAACAGCTTCTTAGGCTGACCAGAGGAGTGGTGAGACTGATCTGCCCATGTCTTCTCAGTTGGCATATTTTATGAGATCTATTTCCACTCAAGGCCACCTTGATGCTAATTTTAACTTGCTTCCACCTCTACTTGAACACCAGTAGGCAAGAGACCCCACATACAATTTCCCTAGACCCTGGAGTACTGATCACTGGGAAAGAGAAGTGCCACTGATATCCACACTGAAACGTCGCTACTCAGCTTTTCTAATCAAGTCACTGAACACCTTTAAGGAAGTGGACTCTGCATATGGCTGAGGAAACAAAACCAGCTGAGGGAATTTAAGAAGTCAACTTCCTGGGACTCCTCTCCAGACTTCCTCAGTTAGAATTTCTGGGGGTACCATGCTAGGAATCCATATGCCCTCCCAGGAGGTTCCAATGCTTGGCTAGATTTTGGAATCATCAACGTAGTAAAAGTTGCAACTTTTAATTTACCAAAAGAGGTCAAGAAACAGGTTCACTGAGGTCCTAAAAACTACAATCTGTGTATATTTAATTCTCCCTGCTTGAATGTAGTAAATGAAGGGAATTTTTTTTTTTTTTGGGGGGGTGGCTATATCTATACAAGAAGGCATTCTGGTGGTGCAGTGGTTAAGGCATTTGGCGACTAAACACAAGGTTGGTGGTTCGAACCCACCAGCCACTCTGTGGAAGAAAAATGAGGCAGTTTACGTGCATAAAGATGTATAGCCTTGGAAACCCTATGGGGGTCGCTATGAGTCAGAATAGACTCAGCGGCAGTCAGTTTGGTTTGGTTTGGTTATATCCATACAAGAGATGATGATGATGATGACCTGTATGCCTTTGAAGACATTAATCTTGCTTTCTAGAATACCATTCCTTCCTCCTCCATCCCACCCACACTCACATCGAAGCTACTCATACGTCAAGAATCAGCTCAAGTTATCACTCAATCCCTCAGGCTTTTAAAGAGTTAATCACTATTCTTGTGTCTTTAGTATTGTATAGATGTCTCTATTATCAAATGTACAATATGACAGGACAATTGCTATCTCTCCAGTACTATAGTTTTTGACTTTCTGGGGGACAGGAGCTATGCCATGCTCCTGTAGCAATCAGAGCACAAAGCACAGAGCTTTATACATGTCCCCCAGAGACCACTAGTCAAAGTGGTTCAACCCCTCTTCAGGACACATCATCTACTGACCTAAAGAGGAAAAAAAAAAAAAAAAAAAGGATTTTGACTGAATCCTAAATCCCTATTTTGATAAAATATTTCTTCATGAATCTTTACTCTTTCTGCTCAATCATTAGGAATACTAACTAGTAATTTCTATGTAAATAAATAATTTTTATGTAAATAAAGGAATCCTTTCTCTCAGAAAAGCTAAATTATTTGAGCTTGCTTTTTCTGCAGCAGAAGGCAGATTTTGACTAAATAACCACCAGGCTCTGCTGTTTCTAATGATGGAAATGTCATGCTAACTCGTATATGATTTACACAGTTTGCCTTCTGAATTGCACTTTCCT